AGGGGAAGGCCACCTCTGGTGGTTTGCTTGGAGGGGAGGGAGGGGAGGGAGGGGAGGAGAGGGGAGAAGCCCAAAGTGGGCCTGGCGGAGGGCCTGACAGGGAACTCCACCACTCTTGCCTGAGAGTGTTCCAGCCCTGAGCCACCCTCCCGGGAAACCCCACAGATCCAGTCTCGACTGTCCCAATGGGGCAGGGAGGAAAGGTGGCCGCTGGGATTTTTTTTTTCTTTTTTCTTTTTGGTAATAAAAAATTTCTTGGTTTAGGCGAAATACTCTGTGCAACCGCAGTACCGAGGGGGAGCCCTGCCCCCCCTCCCCTTCCTTTGCCTCCTGTGGGAGAGAGGGGGGAAGGGGACTCTCTGGGCAGGGGTAAGTGTGGGGGGAAAGAACCATCTCTCATCCCCACAAACATGGAAGAAAAACTGAGCAGGGCGGGGAGGGAGAAGTGCCAGCAGGGGGAGACACGCCAATCCATCTCTGCAGTCTCGCCCAGGTGGGTTGGAGCGGAGGCCCCAGCAGCTAAGTCCAGCGGGCCCGCCTCCGCTGCCCCCCCACTCCTGGCAGCCTGTTAAAGCTTCAGCTCGTTGGCTATTTTGGAGGCAATGTTTTTGAAGGCCATGGAGGTGCCCGATATCCGCTTAAACCGAACCCCGTTGAGAGAGAGCCGCGGCAGTTTGCACACCTCCATCTCCCACTGCACGAAGTTCTCGTGGCCGGGCGTGCCGTGCATGCACAGCAGCATGTACTTCTCGTGCAGCTCGCTCTGGCAGCTGTTTGCGTCCAGCACCTTGCGGATCTCCCGCATCATCTCGTTGGGCTCCATGGAGCTCGTGGTCTTCATGCTCCACGTGAAGCGGAGGGAGCGTGGCTTGGCCTCCCGCAGCTCCTCCTTTTCTCTGTCAGTGCCTCCACCGCCTACCACATGAGGTCTGTAGAGAGGGCAGAGGCCACGTCAGCAGGGGCCCAAGGCACCCCACCCATGGGGAAGCCACCCTGGCACACGGACCCTGAGACCAGAGAGGAGAGCGGGAGGGTGCCCAGGAGGCAGCCGGGCTGGCAGAGGGAGCGGCAGACCTGGTTCGGGGAGCAGAGGGAGGGCGAGAGGTACGGGCGGTCCTTCACCTCTGTCTCCCAGGGCAGAGAAGGTGGAGCCAGCCCCTGGCAGGGACAGGGGTGACAGTTCCATGCTTTCCTTCAAAGACGGGAGGGTCAGGGAAGAGAGGGGGGCAGGCACTTGATCAGCAGCCCTGAGCAGTCCACAGGCTGGACAGGAGAAGCAGCTGGGGCACAAACAGGTGCCCAGGGCTCCTGCTTCCAGAAGACACCTGATCCGAGGAGCAGGGCCCACATCTACTGAGCTGGGGTGCGGGGATTCTCTGAGGAAAGGGAGGCCCCGAGAGGGCGGCGACAGGGCAGAACCACCAGAGGAAGAGCCAGGTGGCCGAAGGAGAGGAGCAGGAGGCGCGCGGCAAGCCCGGCGGCCTGGGCAGGGCCGGTGCTGGCTCCGGCCCTCTCACCTGAGCGTCTCCACTCGGTCTTTGCTTTCAGGTTCATTCAGGTTCCTCAAAAAACAGAGCGAGGGAGAGTTTAGTGCTGGGACCTCTCGCTCCTTCAGCCGCCGCAGACCCAGGTGAGGGTGGTCCAGGGAGGTGCCACTGGTAGGTGGGCAGGACTCGAGCCCAAAGGCCACTTGCCCATTACCTGGCAGGCAAACCTGGCTCTGCAGCACCTCACACTGGCATCTCGACTGTCCCTTTCCAACAGGGAGCCCCGCACAGGGGGCCTGGCCCTCCCCACACTCCCAGAGGGCTATGCTGGGAAGGAGTTCCACTCTGGGACGGAGGGGGGAGTGGGTGTGCAGGCACACGTGTCAGCACAGTCACAGCCGAAGCGGCATCCCGGCCAGCTCAGCCAGGGCTCCCGCTGTGAGTGGTCGTCTGCACCACTGGACCAGGTCTCAGAACCACAGTCCTCTTGGAGGGAAGGGGCTAGGGGCAAACAGGCCTCTCCCAGGAGGCTCAAGGGGCCAAGCTCTGGAACTGCTGTGAGATGCCTGGGGATGGCGGGGTGGGGAAGAGAAGGTCCTGAGGCCAGCTGCAGACAAGCCGCCTCCCCCAGTCTGTGGTAACTCCCCTTCCTGCCAGGCTGCCAGGCCGTCTGCTTGTCCAGAAGGGAGGACGGAGGGCAGGGCAGGGCAGACACCTCGGGAGGGTGGGTGGGGAAGAGGTCTGGCCCCACTGAGCGGCTTCTCCAGCTCCTGGCCGGAAGATGGGTGCCTGGAGCCAGGGAACTGGGGACAGCAAGAGGGCAGGGGTGTGAAGAGAGAGAGAGAGCGGCAGCAGCACATGTAAAAGGAACACAAAAACACCAGAGACACACGAATGCAGACAAGCGCACTGTGAGCCGGGAGCCTGGGCTGTGCAGGAGCCCGGCTGCTCTCCTCAGCCCCACCTGGATCCCGCCGTGGGTGGAGGCGCCCTGCAGGGCAGGCCCCCACTGGGCCCCATGAGTCAACAGCTAGCCATGCAGTGAAGAGCTGGGTGGGGAGCAGTGGGTGGAAGGGGGAAAGCCTGAAGACCCTGTCTTGGCCGTTTCTGTCAGTTGGGGGACTGATATGCCTGCCAGGTGTCCCAGCCCCAGAGCGGGGACTGGGCTGACAGCCTTGGGGAACCAGGGCTCCCAACCTGGCCCTCGGTCTTCGCCTTGGTATCTGGCCCACCCAGGCCTTCAGAGAGGATGAGGACAGGGCCAAAGGTGGCAGAGCCAGGATCCTGTCTAGGAAGGGAGATGACTGGGTGACGGGGGAGCGCCCATTGTTTCGCCAGGGCTTCGGGATAAGATGGCCCGGCCCTAAACATCCCAGCTCCTGGCTCTCTGGAAGCCATGGGCCATATGTGGAGAACACGGCCCAGAGGGGAGGCGGTTTGGTCCATCCAGATACTGATGGAGGCACGAGGTGTGCTGGGGTCACAGTGGGCCTAGTTCTGCAGGAGCTGCCAGAAGGGGGTGCTGTGCCCCACTCGTGAGGCAAAGGCTCTTTTGGGCCTGGAGGCATCAGACTGAAGCCCTGGGACCCCAGTGTCCCTGTGGTACCTCCAATGTCCTACCATCCCACAGGGCAGGGGCAAGAGATCACAGAACCCTGAAGTTCCAGGGACCAGAGAAGGGGACCCCATGAGACCCAGAATGAGATACCATTGCAGATGCACTTTCGACCCGGGTAGCCCCTTCAGAGCACATGCACAGACAGGTGAAAAGGGCCAAAAAAGGAACCAGACACTTGTGATCAAAGACCGGAACCCAGGGATGGGGGCCCAAGGGCAGGAGACAATCTTAAAGGGAGAATTCCCTGAGAAGGTCCCCTCTGCTGGAGGACAGGCCCATCATTTTCAAAGCTATTTGCCCTGAGAGGGCAAACGTGGCCTCGTGGGACCGCCCAGTCAGAGCCGTCTTCGTCCCTTTAAGATGGCAGAGAGGACCACACAGATGTGGTTAGCAGATGGAAGAGGGAGCAGGAGCCAGAAAAGGGGAGTTAGTGACAGAGGCAGGACACAGACAGACACAGACACAGACACAGACACAGACACACACGCAGAGGGCTCAACGCCTACCTTCTGGCAAACCTGAAAGACAGATTTCTAAAAAAAACAAACAAAAAAAGACAAAATAAAAAAAGAAATAAAAAAAACCAACAAGACGGTATGTGGATAAGCAGGTGGGGAGTGGGCTTTATAGGTTCAAGGGTCACCCCACCTGTGGAAGAGCCGCTCAGCGAGACCAGAGTCCCAGACACCCGGTCTGCTCACGCCCCTCCCCGCAGCCCCGCACCTACATTCCTGGGCTACAAAGGGGCATGGCTTTTGGCTACTCCAGCTGCTTCCTGAGCTATGCTAAGGTGGGAGAAGAGGCGCAGGGCAGACAGGGAGCACCCCAACAGGCTGGGTTGCTGGATGCACCTCAAGAATCAAAGCTGTCTCTTTGGGGTGGTCAGGGGGTCAGGTGTGAGAAACCTCATGAAGAGAATCCCCACTCTGGACCCCACACAGGAAAGCATCAGTGCATCAGGGTGCAAGGGACGAGGCTGCTCGGGGCCCCCACCAGCTGTTGCATTTATGGCCTTCATCCTGGCAACGCTGGGCTGAACACGGCTGCAGTAGAGTGGAGTGGCTGCAGCCGGACCTAACCAACTGGGTCGGGGGAAAGGAGGTCAGAGGGGGCGAAACAAGAGACCAGGAAAAACTCCTTGCCGGCCGAGCCTGGCTCAGACCTCATGACTTTGCAGCTGCGTCACCAAATATAAGTTTCCATGGGAACCCAGGAGAGAAGAGGGGGGCTTTATTTTAGCATCCGAGTTCACACTCTCCCAGAGAGGAGGCGGCATCAGCATCGGCCATCTGCTCAGGGGCCAGAGAACCAGGGGTGTGTATACGGGGCTGGGGAGGCCTGAGAGGGACAAGGGACAGGAAGAGTCTGGACACCTGAGGTGCTGACAAAGACCCAATTTCTTAGGCTTCCCAAGGCCTCTTCTAACCCCAGGACCCAAGCCCAGTTCCAGGTGTCCCCGTCCCCACCCCCAGGTGGGCAGGAAAGCCTGGTCTCACAGTGCCGCCCTAAGGCCCCTACTCACCTGCGTACAAACTTGGAGGTGAATTTGCTGAAAATGCTCCCTGACGCCCCCCGCCGTCCCTGGCTGTTGCCGGAGGGAGAGGCTGGGGTCACACCGTAGGGCAAGTTCTGCTGGTCCCGCACCTGCCGGAGCTGCCCAGCATGGAAGGTGCTTCGACTGGACACACCCCGGGGGAAATTAGTTCGGTCTGGGGCTCCACCACTGCTGCTGATGTTGTGGGCGGAGGGGGATGCAACAGGGACACGCTGGGGGGCTGTGCTGTGGGAAAAAGAGGTGGGGGTGGGGGAAATGCATCAGGGCGTGAGGAAGCCAGCACCACCAAGCACCTGGAGCCCTGAGGTGGGAACAGGGAAGGAGGATGCTAGGGCAGAGGCAGCCATCACGGAGGACACACGAGGTAGGGTGTGACCACTGAGGACGCCAGTAAGAAGGACATCTAGGGGAGGTGGCAGGAGATGGTGTGTGGGGGGGAGGCGAGGAGGGATAGTGTGTGGAGAGCAGAACAGGCTGGAGAGAAGTGGCTCCTCGGAAGCTAGGCAGACTGGAACCTCAAGGGGACAATGTTGACCAACCCTCAAGGACTGAGTCCCTGTGATGCTGACTGTCCCTGGGGTCCTAAGGAAATCCAGGAAGCCTCAGAACAAAAAGGCTTCCTTCTGGAGCCTCAGGACGGCTTCTGGCATATCTGTTCTGAGAGGGAGAACTGGAGGAGAAGAGGGGCATTAAGCTATTTTTTGTTCCTTCCACTTCCTGGCTGCAGGGGACAAAGCCATTTCTTGTGGCTAAGAAGATAAGAACAGAGCAGGACCCCAAGTGGGAAGAAACTGTTGGGGGCAGGGGGTGGGACAGGCAGAGGGCAGCAGGTGCACCAGCTGCCCCAGCACACTTGCCTGGGCCGCGGCACCTCACAGTTACTGTCCGTGGGGGGCAGCCCAGTGGCCTTGTTGGGGTGCACGGAGGCCGACATGGATTTCTGGTGCTGGCGGGGCCGGGCCGCAGAGACTGCGGCAGAAGCAGAAGCCGTGGAGGCCCGGGACCCTGGCATGGTTAGGCTAGGAGACAAAAGCAGCGGAGAGGCCTGGGTTAGGGCAGAGGGTGGGGGCAGAGGGCTCAGGTTAAGAAGCAAGGGGGGCAGGAAGGGCCAGAGCTGGGTGCTTGGCAGGACGCAGGTCAGCCCCAGCAGCAGCAACGGGGAAGCCAGCCAGAGCCGAGGAAGGCAGGGCTAGGAAGCGGAGGGCAGGGTGAGGAAGGCCAGGCAGGCTGGGGCCTGGGGAGGAAACCACAAGTGCTGGGAAGCCGACGGGGCAACTGTCTCCGGGCTGCACTGGTCTCCTAGGAATTCTAAGAAAAAGGGGGTCTCCTCTTCAGGAAGAGCAGGGTGTTGCTAAGAGGAATGATCATTAAGCTCAGAAGACACGGAGCCAGGAACATGACACACCAAGAGATGCTGCCGGTCAGGCTGGGGTGGCTCTGCCCTCATGGGCACAGCTGCAGTTACCCTGGATGCGTATACCTCTCAGGTGGGCACTTCGGTTCTGCCCTGAGCTGGGGCCCCCAAAACAAAGCCTTAGCACTGATGCCTAGAGGAGCACAGCAGCCGTGCCTGGCTGCAGTCAAGAAGCAAGACGGCAGCGGAGACGACCGCGGAGTGGTCACCGGAGCACAGGGAAGAGGCGACGGGGGCTGGGGGGCTGGAGGGCAGAGAGGAGGTGCTGGTGTGGGGAAAGCTGGACCGGACAGAGCCAAGATGGAACTCCAGGGAGCAGGGAGGGGAGGTGATGCTGCTGACAGATGTCACCGCGGTGAGAGGTGGCTCCTGGGGAGCGTGGCGGGCAGGGCCTGGGCCTGCTCACCTGTCTTTGCCGTTCTGGATGGAGGCCTGGCCAAGGCTGGCCCTCTCCAGAAGTGGGGAATTCCTGCTTCGGTTTGTGCTGGTGGAGAGGACACTGTTCTGTGGGGATAAAGGGCAGGACTGCGTCACACAAAAGCCGGAGCGCTCTACCGGCAGGGTCAGCAAACCTGTTTCCCTTCTACCTTCTACCACGAGAGGCGAAGGCAGGAGAAAGGGTTTTGCTTTTACTTTGAGGGAGCCAGGCTTTCTATAGTAAGCACAAGTGGCCCAGGAGGGAAGGTCAGGTAGGCAGCTAAAGGGAGTGGGTCTGGATTAAGAGAAGAGCCGCCTAGAGGGGACAGACCCAGCCGGGGGGGCCGGGGGCCGGGCAGGAGGAGCGGGGCTGGCTCGGAGGAGGAGAGGGATGGCGTGGCTCACCGTGGAGGGGGTGGGGGTAGTCTTCTTCCTCTCTAGGCCGGGCAGGGGACTGGCAGGTACTTTGGCTGTGCTGCTGGCCTTCCGCCCTGACTCTCGGTCCTCCTCAGGCCGCTTATTTTCGGCGTTGTTACTCTGAGTTTTCTTAGAGTAGGAATTCGAGGTGGGAATGGCAGGACCAGCTGCTGGGCCAGAGGGACAGCAGACATGGGTGAGGGCGGGGCCCCACGCACGGTGCTCTCCTACAGTCCTGCCAGAGACCCAGCAAATCCCACTTCACTGAGGCCGAGGGAAGGGACTTGTCCAGTAAGTGGCTGAACAGAGAGTGAAACTCGGCTGTGTCATCCAAAGCCCCCAGAACTTGTGACCTCTCAGCAGAGGGCGAGTCTCCCAGCCGCAGCTCTGCAAAGCACTCACCCTGGTCGCTGAAGCGCCGCTGCTTGGGGTTGGCTGAGACACTGCGCTGTACCTTGTGGGAAGGGGATGGAGCACTGCTATTGGTCAGATCGGCTGAAGGCCGGGGCTTCAAGGTGATGGCATCACCCTCCAGCTGCAAGAACAGAAAAGGGAGGGCAGAAGTCAGGCAGAAACGCCTATGGATGATCGCCCTGCCGGACACAAATCCACCCCAGGCTCACATAAGACACAGGCCCTGAAAGACCAATGTGCAACTGAACTCTCGTGGAGACACATGTGCCCCTACACAGACCCTGACAAACACAGCCAGAGACGCAGGACCTCCCGCAAAGATCCTGCCCTCAGAGAGGGATACACACTCCCCCAAGAACACACATCCAGACACAGAGACACCCCACCCCCCCATGCCTCCTGAGCAGGTTAAGAGGAGAATGAAAAGAGGGAGCCCACCACCACCAGGGGAGAGCAGGGTGGGGAGGCCATGAGTCCATGGGGGGACACGCAGAGGAACAACAGCCCCCCTCCAGAGACCCACGGACTCAGTCACAGACACGGTGATCCAGACGGGCAGCACGCTCATGAAGCCTCCAGATGCACAGACAGGATAGAAATACATGCCCAGAGCTATATACACCCAGACACGAGCACCGGGCAGAAGCAATACAGTCTCAAGACTCTTTAAGAAAGAGAGGGACCCATGCGCCCACGGACCCATAGACGCACTCTTCCAGAAGGAGAGATACAAACATGTGGAAACAAAATTTCTACATCAAAACAGAACTGACCTGGCCAGACTGGCCTAGACCCAGTCTAACCACCACAGACCAAGCCAGATCTACTCACTCATGTGCAGACCCAGACCCAGGCCCAGACCCCACCAGCTTCCCTACTCATTCACTGATAGAGATCAGCGAAAGCAAAGACCAGAGGATGTTGGCTACCAGAGCACATCTACTCAGAGAGGACCTTCCGCCCTCAACTGGAGCTAGAAGCATGGGGGTGTCACCACCAGCAGGGCTGGCCAGACCAGGGAATGGAGCGGGGGCACACACCTCAGAGCTCTTGTAGCCCAGGAGCAGATAGGTGGCCATCACCTCGTTGTACCTCTGGCCCACCAGCGAGTCCTGGATCTCTTCCCGTGTGTAACCCATGGACACCATCAACTCTGCATGGGGGGACGTACAGTTAAGGCTGGTCCCGACATCTATGCAGGCTCAACAGCAGCCCGGCCCAGCCTCACCTGTCCGCCGGGGGTCCTTGTAATCAGGGAGTGGCTCCACATAAGGCTTTAATTCATCATCTTCATGACCCACATTCATCCATCGATCTTTCATGATTTGCTGGGGAGCAAACGGAAGGGAAAGGGCAGAGAGGAGGGAGATTCAGCTTGAAAGTTTCCTTAGAAACCTGGGACTTCCCAGCCAGTGGGGTCTCGGCTGCTCACCTCTAAAGTGCCTCTCTTGCTGGGATTGAGAATGAGAAATTTCTTAAGCAGGTTTTCACAGTCTGTGGACATGTAGAATGGAATACGGTATTTCCCCCTCAGTACCCGTTCCCGCAGCTCCTGTAGGAGGGAAATTTAAATCAGCCCAAGGCCAAGGGAGGAAACCTAATATCGAGGCTCCGAAGAGCTTAAGACCGGCCAAGCAGATACAAATGCAATACGGTAGGAGGCAAAGAGCCCAGACTTGGCCCCTTCTCAGAGATGCGGTGAAGTCAAAGGCCCTGAGCCCTTTGGCCTGGCCAGCCCGTAGGCCTGAGGGCCTTGGAGGGTGAACGGGACACACGAGTGATCCCAGTCTGCTAGAAAAGAACTGAGGTTATTACGCTGGGTGCAGAAGCCCTTTTAAATCGCTACCTTTTGCAAGCCCTTCTCTGAGGCTCTGGCATGGAAGAAATGTAGAGAAGTGACGAAGGTGACAGGTTTGGGGTAAGACTGGAGGCCACGAGAGGAAATGAGGAATAATAAAAATGATCGCGGCCTGCGCTGCACTCCACCTTGAGGTTCTGTCCGTCGAAAGGCAGGGACCCGCTGACCAGGGTGTACAGGATGACTCCCAGGCTCCACACGTCCACCTCAGGTCCATCATACTTTTTGCCCTGAAAGAGCTCTGGGGCGGCATAAGGGGGACTGCCACAGAACGTGTCCAGCTTGTTCCCAAAGGTGAATTCGTTGCTAAAGCCAAAGTCGGCAATCTTGATGTTCATATCGGCATCCAAGAGCAGGTTTTCTGCCTGGGAGGTAAGATGGAAGATGTAAAGGGACCAAGTGGAGCACACTAAGGCACTGGACAGGAAGGAGCTGAGGGTGGTGGGAAAACCAACAAAATCATCCCTCGTCTAGAACCTTCTTCACCAGCTCCAGGGCAGGCCTTCGATTGGTGTGAACAGGCTGAGCTGGAAGAGGGCAGAGCACGCTGCTCCTCACACAGGCAGCCATGTGAGAGCTGAGGTCTGCAGGCCCGGAGACGCCCCGAGCTGCGGAAAGCTTCTGGAGCAGGCCCGGGCCAATCACGGGCATCTGCGAGGACTCGGGCTGGGAGTCTCCCAGGCAGCCCCGCACTCTAACGCCTCAGTGAAAGAGGTGAGTGCGTGCACATGCCTGCAAAGCAGCTGTGACGCGGCTGTGAGAACAGTCAACATTCCTCCCTCGCTCAGCCACCAGGCTACCTGAAGGGCCAGCACAGTCTGGAGCCCTCCTGCCATGCCTGGCAGCACTGGAAGGTGACGTGACGACTGAGAGGTAAAATAGCAGAGATCCTCTGCTCACTGGCTGGAATGGGATCCTATATTCAGCTATAAAGCCTAAATCGTAAGTAGCCCTAGGGGCTTCCTCATGGTCTCCAAACAATTCAAGGATGGAGTTTCCTTGAATAGTGAGGCCTGATAGTTACACGTCATGGTGAATGGAGGGTGAACCTGGCCCTGACTCGGGCACAGGGGGTAAGAGCACACCTTACCTTTAAGTCTCTATGAACAATAAATTTCTGGTGGCAGTACTGCACAGCAGACACTATCTGAAAGGAAGGAAGATGGGTTAGCCCAGGGCCACCTGAGGATAGGCCACAGGGGCTGGCAGAGCTGTGACCCCAGGACCTAGTTCTAAGTCGCCACATAGATATCAAAGGACCCTCAAAAGAACACTTATAGACAGGCAGCCCCTACTTGTATGCCAGCCCAAAGGGCTGAGGTCGGGACCATACTCCGGGGAGGAAGTCACCCACCTGGCGGAATTTGGCCCGAGCCTCTTTTTCTTTCATCCTGCCGTGAGCCACTAGGTAATCGAACACCTCTCCTGCAAGAGACAGGGGCAGGTCTGGGTCAGAGCTTGCTGGGGCTGGGGGAAGGAGGCGCACAGCAGGAAGAGGTAGTTCCATACCTACCTCCACTGGCATACTCCATGACAAGGTAGAGCGTTTTTTCAGTCTCGATCACTTCAAATAATTTAACTACAAGAGAAAAGGCCAATCCAGGAGTCAGAGAAGTAGCAGGGGCCAGACGTCAAGCCCCAACATGTACAGGGCACCCTAGGGATAAAGTTCCCCCTTTCATACTCCACCTTCCCAAGGACATGTTCCTTTCAGAACAGCCACACCCCTAAGGACAGCTCTGGGTGCCAGAGACAGAGCTGGATGTAGGCCTGGGCGCCCCGGAAGCATCCTTGAAGATTCTGGGCTCCAGGAAGGAAGAAGCTCACGGGGAGGACCTCACGCTGGGCTACATGCTGGCATGTGGAGCCCTGCTGCGGGGGAAGAAAGGGATGACAGCTGGTTCTCACCTATGTTGGGATGATTCAAAACCTTCATTATTCTTACTTCGCGGAAGAGCTGGAAAATAAAATACCAGGGGTCATGCCCTCAGGTCACATCCAAACAGAGCCACTGCTAGGATTCTTTTTCCAAAAGAGAAAACGGGCAAGGAAAAGAAATGCGGTAGTTGTCCGGGTCATCCATGCCCACCCTTGATGGCTGAGAAGCAGGTGAGAGGGGAGGAGGGCAGGAAGGGTCAGTGGGAGGAGCACTGGGCTCTGATGGCATGTGCCGGAGGTGCAGCAGCTGGGTAAGCCAGCCACACCCTCTGCCGCAGTCTACCCAAAATCCTGCCCCCACACAGCAGGCGGGTTTGGTTGGGTTCCTCTGAAAGAGGGAGCGTGAACCATGTACATGAATATTCAGAACTGAAGTTCAGTGACAAAACCGACTCCGGCTTGGTCTGTGTGTGGTGGAGGGAGAGCTGAAGGGGGACCCCGTCATCTTCTGCTTTACAGAAGTCAGAGGGCTCTGCACTGGTGAGCAGGCCTTTCTCTCCTGGGCCTCTGGGTGGGGACAGAAGAAGCCACTCCTATATATAGCTGATGCCAATTTTAATCAAATCCACCTCCACACACTCACGCTCTCTTTGTGAAACAAAATCACGGACTCCAAACCATACATTTCCATAAAGAAAGATGACAGAAATGAACTCCATCCCCTCTGCGGGGGCCAGAGAACTGGAGGCGGGGCTTCTGTAACTTCCAGGCCTCACCATTTGCACAAAGAGCAGAACTAGTTTTGTTTTGTTTTGTTTGGGGACGGGGGGTCTGGAGTATAGTTTATGAAATGAAGTGAACACTTTTTTTCCTTTAATGAGATCCCAGGGCGTCCGTGAGCTGGAAATGAGAAGAGACAGGCTTCCCAATCTTCAGGAACCCGGTTCGGATCTTCGCGCCCTTCTCTTGCTGGAGCCCAGCAGTTGTCTTGGATGAAGAAGCAAAAAATCCTGGACAGCACCTCAGGGGTAGTAATGGGGAGCAGCAACGGCATGGGGTCTGGAGGCAGCTGCCGGGGTTCTTCCCCCGAGGAGTGCTCACCTGGCCTGGAAGGGCCTTCTCCATGGACAGCATGGAGCTTTCTAGGCTTGTCTAGAACCCTGAGGGGGCTAGCTTCTCCAGTGTTCCTCGTTTAGAGATCGTTGCTGGGATCAAATTTAAACAGAATGATTTGGCCAGAATCAGATTGGCCTTAGCAACAGAGTACGTTGAAAGGCTTTTAAAACGTCTACATTTGTCTGGTACTGGGCCTCTCACCCGGTCAGGGAGAAAATGAGGTGGGAAATAAGATGGCCGGGCTGACTCTGGCAGTCACTGTGATGGCAGGCGGGCTGCTTCAAAGACCAAATGGCCCACACCAACCTGGGTCCTACTCTGTGGGGTCTGAGCCAACCTGTCAAGAGTAGCCATCTTTCCCTTCCTTCTGGAAAGCTCCAAGCAGGGAAGCCCTGGTGATGACAGCAATGCTCCCTTTAAACCAAAGAACTTTAAGGGGATCCCACAAATAATAAAAAATAGTAAACACTTTGGTTCTGGCTGTCATTGTCAGGGAACCTCAGCTCACACAGTGACTCTGAGCACGTCTCTCGATAACAGCTCCCAACCCCTAGTCCCAAGCTGCCAGATGTCACTGTAGTTGACTCTGTTAGCACGAGGTTATGCCCTCTCCTAACTCAAACAACAGTGTGCTCATGAAAAGAAAACTTCAATCTGCCACAAGATGAAAAGCACCAGGTGAATCCAGGTCAGAAATGTGAACCGGGTTAGTGGGAGTATGAGGGCGCCAAAGAAATCTGACTTGACCGGAACAGGGGCAGCTTTGTGGGAGCCAGATGGGAGACCTCGTCCTCCCGCTGGCTGCCGGAGCCCAGGATAGGGGCAGGGGCACAGAGTTCCCCGTTCTTCAACAACCAGTCACTGGAAGCTGTCCCCCTTTCACAAACGAAAGTCTCCTTTCCTCCATCCTACCAGCTTTTCATAGTTTCTTGAGCAGGGGACACGTGTTCCCACTGGGAGGGGTTCACCAACCAGCTAAGACAGACCTGTTTCCCACTGTAAGTCAAGGAGGGAAGGGAAAAGTCCAACCTCATCTACCTAAGACTACGTGCACATGACTTTGTGACTTTTAGCCAAGAGGAGCCTAGAAGTGAGAAGGAAAATTGGGAGCACCTGTCCTTAGTCTGCACTCACTGTCAGAGGCATGAAATGAGTTTAGCTTCTAAAAATCCCAGTCTTAAATACTCATTCTCTAAAATGCAGCTGGCACAGAATCCAGGGGAAGGTTCCTATATCTTCTTATCCCTGTACTTCTAGAGCTACCCACCTTGGATCATTCCAGATCTTGGAATGTGTTTCTAGTAATAACTACAAACAAGTACTTTTGCATAGGGCTGGCCACAGGCCAGGAGATAGCGTGATATAGCAAGTAGGTCGGACAGGTAGGCCACGTGGCTAGGAGGGGGCAGCAAGACTCCTGAAGAGCCAGTGCCTGTACCAGGAAGCCTGACTGGGAGGTGCCAACACAGAGGAGCCAACAAAAAGTAGCAGCGTCATAGAGAGAAATGGGGGGACAGTGAAATGACCAGAGAGTTTAAAATGGGTATTCAAATGGGATCAGCAAATCACTGACCCCTGAGAGGCTTAAGAGACTGACAGGTGCTGTATACACTTACTTTCTGGAGGCTGGATGAGTTCAGCTGGGTCTTGTCAATGATCTTCACAGCTACCTGAAGATGGGACAAAAAAAAAGCCCAAGGTTACCTCTTCAACTGAGCTAAACCCAGGACTGAAATCTACTTTCTCCTTTCTATTTCCACCTCCTTTTTGTCCCATCCCTCTTGGCATCCCTATATCTTCAGATTTCATTTCTGTCTGACAAACAAGAGGTTGGCTGTGGTAGCAGTCCCACCACTACTTACAGGGGTGTCAACAGTTGGGCAATGCTGCCATGTCCTCAACCCCAGCACTCACCTCTTTCCCAGTCAGGATGTGCCGAGCCAGCTTCACCTTGGCGAAGTTACCTTTGCCAATCGTCTTGAGGAGTCGATAGTTGCCGATATGGGGCTGCTCGTCAGCAGAGGTGGCTGAGTTGCGGCCCCGCAGCATGTTGGATTTACTGCTGGGCTTGGAGTCGAGGTGTCCCAGGGTGGGCTGCAGGGTGGAAAACGCACATCTGTAACTGTGCTGCCCTTCCAGTCCCCACACCCCCTACCGCTCTGCAGAACATGTAAAAGGCTGGGTGTGTTGGAGCCAATTCCAAGGAGCCAGCAGAAATGCGAAGAATCAAAGAATCATAAGACGGGTTAAAAGGGACAAGATGGTGAGAAGAGAGCCAGTCTTTCCTCCAGAAGAGCACAGCCCAAGGTCCAGTGCCAACATCCTGTGGGCGTTAGAGCTCAGGACCTGAGCTGTCCCGTCTGGCTCCACCGCCTGGCAAAACAAACCCCCATTGATAACCCAACAGCTCCTCCACCTCACGTGGGACAGCGCCTCCTACTGTCCACCCCGTTGCCTGTTCACTGTGAGAAGGCTGCATCTCACAGGCGCAGGAGCAGCACCACCAGAATGGCTTTGAAGCACTCACTGCCACCCAACACTTTACATTTACCTTTATTATTTCTCGCTTCGCACTGATTTGCTGTCTATCCCGATGGAATGGAAGCTCAAGATGTATCACTTACTCACTGATACATTCCAGCACCTAGACAGACTGGACTATGGTACATGCCCAATGAATACTTGTGCAATGAATGAACCGAATGACAGGGTCCAAGAGAGGCAACAGTATGCCCTCCTTAGATAACCCATCGCTCGGATAGGGTGTGAGGAGGCAGAAATGATGACAACAGCACTGAACAAGTACGTAAACATAACACAAAGAAGGTATGGTCCAGAAAAAATTATACACCCTATGAAGACTTGTATTGTTCTCAAAGGGCTAAGCATAGAATTACTATGTGACCCAGCACTTCCATTCCTAGAAAAATGAAAATGCGCATCCACACAAAACTCATACAATAATATACATTCATGATACCCATGTTCATAATAGCCAGCAAATGGAAACACCACAAATGTCCATCAACTGGTGAACAGATAAACTGTGGAATATCTACACAGTGGAATATTTGTTGGCAATTTAAAGAAATGAAGCACTAACACACGCTACGACTTGGGTGAACTTTGAAGACATGATACCAGGTGAATGGAGCCGGTCGCAAAGCCCACATATTGTATAATTCCATTTCTATGAAATGTCCAGAATAGGCAAATCCACCGAGACAGAAAGGAGACTTGTCGAGGGCTGAGGACAAAGTAGGGTTGGGGGATTGTGGTGATGAATACACAGCTCTGTGAATTTACCAAAAGACATTTAACTGTACGCTTTCAATGGGTGAACCGTAGGGTATGTGAATTGCATCTCAGTAAAACTGTTAAGACTCTGGTCTAAGTCTTGATTACAGCCCCGATTACCTCTCGAAGAACACCTGATGCCACTGCTCCAGCATACTGGGACAAAGCTGCTCCCAGAGCCTCAGCCCAGAACCATTCAGAGTGGCCATGGAATGACTTGCTACCACAAAGGAACTGTCCAGGGTTCCTTCCTGAGCAAGAAGCTTGCTTCCCCAACCAGTTGCTTTTCAGGCAGAAAACCAACAATAACACAAAATAAGTATCTACTGATGTTCCGTTTCTTCACTGTGTCAAGAGGGCTTTCCTTTCTCTCTGCATAGTAGCTTAGCTGCTGGCTGGTTTGGGATGAGCTGCTCAACTCAGATCCCAGAAGCACAAGGAAGAAAGAACTCACGGGTATGGTAGACTCTGAAGGGAGAGGTTCCTGACATCTTTTAACCTCCTTGGCCCTTCAGGGAGCGTTCTCTCCTCTGCAAGTCAAAGTCCCCAAAGCCTCTGCCATCTGTCCACTCTGGACCGTAGCGCTCTCCTGCGCTCTGGTCTCCAGGCACCCCGTAGTTCACCTAAGCCTGGCTGGTCCTCAAACAGCATTTGCTAGACCAGCAGATTTCCAAATACCTGTTTTTATTTTCCCTCCAAAAGGAACTCTAGGGTTCACACCCCTTGAAGAGAAGGACATTTCTAGGCCTTGCTGGTACTTGCACTTGGGTGAGTCTACCAAAGAACAATTCCCATCCATCAGGGTCCTGAACGCCTGGCTTCCATGGCCTACTTCGTCTCAGCCCCATCTCCCTGCAGGTGCCACCTGCCTGCCTCCCGCCCCGCCCACCTGAGGGGCCAGAAACAGGGAAAACCTCCCCTCTGCCCCAACTCCTACGAGAGGAAGATGAGTGGAAAAGTTTCCTTGGCAACCTCGAATTCACCTCCTTAGATTCTTGTCATGCCCCTCTTTTCTGAGGAGATGACGGCAGTCACCAAGTCTTCAAAATGTGGAATAGGGATTCAATGTCTACCCGAGGATTTGGGCCCTCTGCCTGTCTGAAGCCCCACCGGGGAATCCTGCTGCTTGTCCGGCACTGCGCTCTGTCCATCCCTCTTGGTGTCTCTGGCCCCAGGGGCTGGTCTGTGTGGCACAGCAGGACAGCATTCCCCGCCAGGCTCAGCTGCATGCTGGACTTCAAGGAACATGAACAACCACAAGAGGGGCTTAAGAGTGTACATGCCAGAGACAGACTGCCGGGGTGCGTGTCCTAAATCTGCCACTTACTCAGCACATGTTAACTTTATAACGATCAACGCCATCCTTAAGAGGGAGAAGAGATTATTACAAAGGGGGAAGGAAAGCATGCAAAAGATTAATGGCGTGATCACACCTGACGGGGCCGGCAGATAGTCTGGGGAGGTCGAAGAACTCTGTCCAATAGAACTTGACCGCCTCACTTACCAGTGTTAGCTTCCCATCTGTAAAGTGGCAATAAAATATTCCCTACTTCACATTGGGTAGATGAGAGAACATGCATAAAATGCTTCACCCGACGGTTAGTCAGTAAAGAGCAACCATTACTGCTATTATTTCTAGTTCCCAAATATTACCGTCCATAAAGCCAGAAGTCTCACTGTCAATAAGACTTCCGCATCTACATCAAACCCTTCTAAGCCAGCTGGAGCGCAGACAGAGGCCGACAAGAGATGCTATGGCCCTTCCTGCTGGAGAAAGGTCCAGGCTGGGTGTCGGCCACCCTCCCGTCCGGCCCCCGTTGCCAGCCCACACTAGCACTCATAGCCTTCCCAGAGGGGACTGGACGGGGCAGATGGGAAGGGCTGGTTCCACGACGCTAGGTGTTATCGGGACAGTTGAGAGAGAAGATTCTGCTTGTCCAGGACCCAGAGAAGCAGAGGACACTGGTGTGTGCTCTTTGATTCCCTGCTCCAAAAGCCGCCCATTCCCCTGTCAGGACTGAAGCACCAGCTCTCGAGACTCCGAGCGTGCAGTCCCCTGATCCCCTTGCCTCTTCTAGGCTGTACGATGTCTCCCACAGCAGGGATGGGGGAGAGGGCGAGGAAAGCCCACAGGTAGGAAGGACAGCAAGGAGAGAGTCTCCAGTAGAAGATGCTTCTCTGACCAGGGCCCCATGCGAGGCCGCTTCCTGGAGGGCTGACGAGGAGGTAAGCGAACGGGGTGGCTACTACGGAGTCCCTTCCATGGTTCCGCTTAGGTGCACTCAGCCTGGACCCAGACCTCATCAACAGGATGGAGGGCTGAAGACCAGCTGCCCTTGAGGGCCAGCTAAGCAGGACCTGGCTAAAGCCACGCTCTCCCCTCTACCTCGATCCTCCTTGCTTACAGTTAAGATACGAACACCAGACATTCCCAGAGCTCTGGCCGACATCACACCCAGGCAGGTCCCAGAGGTCTGAGGGCATTTGTGGAAAGTGAACCCCAGGGCTCCCAGGCAGCCTTCAGAAGGAAAAGGGGTCACCCTTTGGGGCAATATTTGGAATCAAATGGTACACCACACAGGCCTGGTTCAGAAGTAGGGCCTAAACAGTTTTGGGGTCCTTGGTAGAGGGGAGGAGAGACATAGGACGTGAGGGATAAAAGAAAAAGAGTCCCACATCCAGTGGGCCCTTCAACCTGGGATCTCGTAGCTCGGCCCAGGCGTGGTGCCAGGTTTGCCCGGAAGACAGTCTCCACCCCGAGAGGCCCAGCGCTGACTCAGGTAGGCAGGGCCCCTTCCCTAATGCTGGAGGCTCCCACCGTCAGTTCGCCCCTGGAAAAGCTCTGCTTTGGGGCTCGGCATGCACAGCTGGCCTCGAGTGTCCTGAGGCTTCCCCAGGACTGGGAAAGGGCCAAACTGGGAGGGGTGACAAGCGTTCCCTGGCCAGGGGCAAAGTAAGCCCAGGCTCTGTGGAGTGGAGGGAGAAAAGTGTCCCTTGGGCACTAGCCCTGGGCCTAGAGCCCAGTCTCCCCTCACTGGAGTACCAGAGTGGGCCTCTGCCGTCACCAGCTGGGCCTCTGCCGTCACCAGCCCCTTCCTTTCACTCAGGCTGAGCCTGCTGACTTGATCTAAGGGGAACTCTCCTAGTGGCCACTCTTCCCTTCCCGGCCAATGACTCTTTATCCTTCCCCTGAATTTTACTACCCTGTGTCAGTGCCTGGCTCCCTTTAGCAATTCTTTACAGATCCTGTGTTTGGGTGGGAGAGAAGAAGGAGGCAAGGGTGATCTCAGAACAAAAAAAAAGGGGAAAACATACCCGGCTGGAGAAAGGGACAAGGACTACCAGCGACTTCCATTCAGCAGAACCCACAGCAGAACCTGTCAGGCAGCGAGGGCAAAGTACAGAGGCCGGGAAGAGCCAGGCCCAGGGCGGGGGCTGCGGCTCCGCCAGCCACCCTTACTCAGCCGAAGCAGGCGACACCTTCCACCACCTCCTCAGTGAAAAGTAGCGAAGCAGCCAGGCCCAGCGGCTCCTGCCTGGGAACCTGGACTGTGTCGCAACCGAAACCACCACTAGTAGAGAGAGACCAGGCTTGGCAAGGAGAGCAACGGGTGCAAAGCCCCGCGGCTTCTCTCGGGCCAGGGCCTAGTGGCCAGGAAATGCATGCACTTTAGGATAGTACACCAGGAGCCAGGTGGGAGGAAAGGGGCAGGAGGGGAACAGGAAGGAAGGGAGACTGAGAGAGAAAGGGGCGGGTTTAGATCAACTTCCTTCTCCCTTCCCCTCCCCCTCCCCGG